CAGTTAAGAAACGTTGCATTTCTGTGCAGCTGCACAGCCCATTTTATCTGCTGACGGCGCCCCATTGTCAAGGCTGAGCCGGGCTCTTCCATCTAGGCGAGCGTTTCTTTTCTTTCCTTTTTTTAAGGGGTGGGGGGGAGAAACGTAGAAATGTTGCGGCAAGGGTGGGGGGGGGGGCCTTCAGAAATAAAACAAACAAACAGACAATAAGCTCCAGGCTTCAAGAATTTGCCGGCTCCTGCCAGCTGCGAAACTACAGCCTATGAAATATGCATCGCAAGGAACAAAGCAGGAAGCAACATCCAAGGATGAGGAGCGTCAGAAAGGGGAAGGAGAAGAGAGGGACCCTCTGCTGTCTGTACACAGAGGCCACCAAGCAGGGAGAGGTCGAGAGGACCAGGCGCAGCGACCGGTCCAAGTGTCCCTCTGCCACCAGGACACAAGAGAAGGAGATGCTCGCGGGAAGCTGCTCTCCTCGGAAACATGCACAAGGGGTGAAGAAAGCCGAGGGAAACAGACAGGGTTGAGGACAGCTGGACGGTGTGTGTGTCTGTGTATCACGGGAGAGCGATATTTTCAGGGGATCTGTTCCCTGCTGCACTTCATAAGGGTGCCCCTGTCTGGGCACGCAGGGTGCTGAACTGAGAGCAGGCTGTTCATAAAGCTGCTCACGACACACTTAAGTAGGGCATGGGGGCGGGGAGCTCACAACCCATCTTCAGCTTCGCACTCACCCCTACACGCTCACACACCGTTTCCTACATTCTGCCCATGATGAACAGCTTTAAAATGTGTGAACATCAGAATCCAAAAACATTACTTTTTTGGGGGGGGGATGACAATTCTTCAGCGTTTCGGTGGCCCTTGTGGACTGAGGGATCCTGAGGAACCCTGTCCAAAAAAACCCCCAACTTTTCTAAGCTCTATCGGAGAGGAGTCCCAAGGCCTGCCTGCGGCGTCCGCATGACGTGGATTTAAGCAAGGGCACTGCATGGACCTGTCAGTGGTATTCCTGGTCCTTTTCCTGAATCCTTCCCAGCACAGAGCCTGCCTCTCCGCTCCTCCGTTACAGCATGGACCACTTCCTTCGGAGCTGTCCATCTAAGATGCTCCAGAGCTCTTTCCCAGCTTCTCACCTTCACTTCAGACACATCGAATAAGATGTTTTTAAATAGTAATGGGCTACACAAGAGATACGTGATGAACAACACGGCTGCCTGCCATTAGTCTCATCAACCTGTTGTGCATTAAAGTTCTTTCCTTCTTCTTCTTTCTTTTTCGGTATTTGTTTCACAAAGCTGTGAATCATAATCCAATAATACATTTTTGAAAGAAAGAGCAGAAAAACCACAACTGGTGTCCTGCCCAAATATCCCGGATGAATGAGGGCAAAAGCAGGGGTTGAGGTTAAGAACCACGGAAGACAGCTATGGGTGTGTGTGTGTGTGCACTGAGGTTCACAGAAAGGCTTCGGAAGCCTCTCTGGGGAAGCAAAGTGGGAGGCCGGAGACCGAGCGAGAAAAGGAGAGCCAGCAAACTTCCTGCTAAGTAGGTTATTGATCTTTGGCTTGTGCCAGAAACTAGCTTTGCAAATTACATCCAGTTCTTTGGCGACAGTCTTGCCCATCTCTGGGGGGGCGGGGCAAACAGTGTTCTCTGTCTTGGGCGCGAGGGCTCTCCCTCTGGTATATCACCAGGCAGCCTGGCCTTTTCTAGGTGCAAGTTTCTGATGGGGGTCTTGCAAACCATGCAAAGGAATGTCAAGAAGAAAGGCCAAAGAGGATGTGTCAAAAAGAAAGAGAGAAGGTTTAGGAAAAAGAAAAACAACACCCAACCTTGAACGTGGCACCGTGATGGCGGCACAAAACCCAGAACCAATGACATACAGTAAGGAAGTTCTCAAGAAAAATAAGAGAGCGCCTTGTAGCACCTGGAAGAGCAGCCAACGGATGCTTTTAGGAGCACGGATGAAGTCCATCTCATGCTACAAAAGCTGCCACTTTTAAAAGGTGCACCATGTTGACCCTTCTCCCTGTTATTTTGCTCTTACAGATGATCACAGCAATAGTCGGAAGCTGCCGCGATACTGAAGGTCCCCTGAAATCGTGACAACAACCTTGGAACGGCAGAGCTGGAAGGGATCCGAAATGGATCATGGAGTCCGGCCCCTGTCAAGGGGGCACCAAGGGGGGATCAAACTCCCAATCTCTGGCTACACAGCCAGAAACCTAAGCCACTGAGCTGTCCTGTGGGTCAGGATGTGAACCTGCCCATTGCTCCTGACCAATGCCCGACACCTTTTTTTGTTCCTCGTGTCCCCTTCACGAGGGAAAGTGCACTTTCTGTGGTGCTCTCCCGAGTACAGAATCCCTTCTGCGGGAATATCCAACTGGTGTTTCCCCTCGGATTTCCCAGGCACCAAATCTAGACGGTGGGAAGTGTGGCATACATGCCTGGAGTAGATTTTGGGATCACTCCTCTCCTTTCGATAGCAGGGGTGGCCCTTGGATCTCCCCACTTTATCCACCCACCAACCCTGTGGGGCGGGTCAACCTAGGAAGACGGGACTGGGCCCGAGTTTAGGCAACAGCCAGAGTCTCCTGAGTGTTGGCAAAAGGTGTGCTAATTGCACTAAGGGCAACAGGAAGGTGCCAAGGGGCATCTCGGCTGGGCCATCAGGCGTGTGATTGGGCATGTGGTGGAGCCATGGCCCTGAACCTCGTCAGCTCAGTCACACACACACTTCACATGAACACTAGCTGGATTCTGGCCAGCCGGTTTCGTGGTCACGTGGGGATTTGAACTTGGGTACTCTGAGCCCCAGACTGAGGCGCTCACCCCTCCCTACCTGGTGTTGGCTACCATTGCTTCTGGAGGAATCCTCCTGAAGAGCTGAGGGCAGCCCCCCCCCGCCTGTCCTGTCCTTTCCTCTATCTAGCCCACGTTTGTGCCGTCCGGGTCCAGTCAGGGTTTACCTTGGTGCCCCACTCGTCGCCTTCGGCGTGGACAATGTAGGCAGAGCCACCCTGCGGGGTGCTTTCCGTGGCAATCCGTACTTTCACTCCAGGCAGGGGAGTCCCCACCGACCCTGGAAGGAAGGGAAAGGGAGGGGCGTGAGCTTCCACGTTGATCAGAGTGTCTCTGGTTGAGTTCAGAATTTCGGGATGGAGAAGGGGCTGGGCTGAGGCCACACGGCCACTTCGTGGGAACCCACCAGCAGAGAAGAACCCTTTCAAGCTTCTATGCGTTGGCCGTTGCTTCTGGATCTTGGGGGCACTCAACAGCAATAAAAGGATGCCTGCCTTGAAATGCAGTGTTGGGGGAGAGATTTGTGCCACACCAATTAAAAAAGAAGGGGACAATGCATTGAAGTTATTCCCGAGAGTGTTACCTAACATGTGCGCCCAACTATGTGACAGCGATCTAAGGATTGCAAAGCAAAGGGAGCCTGGCTTCAGGTAAGGCAATGTCTCCCACTCTGTCCTCTCCCAAGCAAAAAATCTCTTGTCCTTTCATCGTTACTACATGTCCAAAATATAACACACACAACCCCACACCACCAAACAAACAACCCTTATTTTCTTCTTATCCCAGTCCAGCATCACTAGGCAGGAAATCCTGTGGCTTCAATTGCCCCCCCTCCTCCCACCCCTCCGCCTTTGCTTTGTGACCTTCTGAGCTGCCGATCGAGACGAGCACCAGCAAACGGGAGCAGGCAGCCATCAGAGGGAAGGGGGCAGCCCTCTAGGAGTCTCCTCCGCCCAGGTTTCCCCCTCTGTTTAAGTTAGTTGCCAGTCCTTCCCTGATCCGTTTAATTGCCCCTGTGGCCGGTGTCCTTGGGTCTCAGGGGGCCGGATGCTGTTCTGCCTCATGGTGTCCTGGGAGAATTGCAACGGGGCAGCGAGGACGATAAGGCTCTCAGCCCCTCTCCCTGTCAACCCTCTCTGGAGTCCCCCCACTGTCGGAGCTATTAGCCGCCTCTGATCTAAACCTCCAATTAAAGTGGTGATTAGGCCCAGCGAGGCATTCGCTAGGCATGAATTATTCATCTCCCCTCACAGTAACAACACCAGGGGGATTCAGAGGAGGGAGGGAGAAAGAGAGAGAGAGAAAGGCAGGAAACAGAAGCATTTTAAGCAGGGTATTAACCATGTAGCAGCACAACATTTATCTCCCCATCTTTCATCTCCACTCCTTTCAAAGAGAAGGCTCCTCTCTGCATCTCTCCATTCCGGCACCTTGAGAGCAGAAGCGTCTCAGGGACCTCCCTGGGCCCGGGAGCTGAAGGGCTGGGGGGCGGGGGTGGGAAGAGGGGGCAGGGATGCGGACGCAAGAGCAAGGGGGGGGGAAAGCATTATTCTAAAACATTATTAGTATTATTCTATATATTCCCCCTCTTCTCTCTGCATCAATATTTGTGAGTTTGAAGACATGGATAAAATACCAGCGTGTATCTTTGTGGCTGAAGCTCTCAGCCTAAATATGGCCTTGCCTGCACCCGACAGCTTTTCCTGCCGTGCCAACGGGGGAAGCAGACAGAGAGCCAGCGGCAGCAGCCCTTGGCACAGACTTTTTCCTTAGGAATGAGGGCAAAGCACCCTGCGTGGAGGTGCGCCTCTCGGATGCCTGTTGACCAGCTTCCTAGCAGCACTCAGCGGAGGGCTTGAAATGCAGGTTTCCTTGAACGTCTACTCTCTCTCTCTCTCTTTCTTTCTCACCCTCTGCCTACAGAGACTCTTTGTGGATTAAATCCCATTTCATCCGGTTCACAAAGAACAATCTTAGAGGTTCAAGTCGGCCTGCATGGTGTTGAGAGGTGTGCTTGGAGTGCTTGGAGTGAAACTGGACGCAGACGGTAATGACAGAGACAGTGACACGTTTAACATGGGCCATTAATAAAACATACACAGGACGACAAGGGCCGCAGGAGGGAGGAGACGACATCCGTGTGGATGTTGCCCTTATCACAAGGCCACTGACTTTGATTGGCTTTCTTCTCTTGTCCTGCCTGCTGACACCATACCCTGCAGTCCCAGTTGTCCGGCCCTGAAGCTCTGGGTGACTCTAATTATTCTCTTTGGTCTCTCTTGTGTCAACTTCAGCAACTCACTTCTTTTTCATCTTTGTCTCTTGGGGGGGGGGATTTCTTGGCGTGGGTGCCCTTCTGCCAAAGACGAGAGCAACGGGAGAAGAACGCCACCCTGCTGGAGTGCTTTTGACGCTGCTGCCCCCTGTATCTGAACCGCGGAAACCCGAAAGAGTGTGTCGGAAAGGTTTCATCTCGCCACTTCCTCTCATCAGCTGGAAGGGAACGGGGCTGCCGTTGGCTAGAAATGGTGGCTCTTTGTGGGTCCTGTTGTTGTATGGTAGCTGAAAGCACTTCGGTCTTCTCCTGGGAGCCAGGGCTAGACCGGACTATGGGTGATGTGTTAGAAGGCGAGAGTTTTGCTAGCCCAAGTAATTCCAGCCAACCTGAAGAGGAGCCCTAGAGAGGAGCAGAATGAGTGTGAAGGGGGGGGGAATCCCAAACGTCTGAGCTGGGTGCTGTGGGATAAGAAGAAATGGCCGTCTCTGCTGGTGGGTGCAGGAGCATTAAGCTGAAACGGAAAAGAACACGCTCTGCTTCTTTGCTTGTCTCCTCTGTGCACGTGCGGAGGTGGAGAGGCCAAAAGTATGCCGGCCTAGTGGAAGGGCAAGAGGCTTTTAAGGGTGCTTTTTGGCCCCCCTCTCCTTTTTTTGTGGATGGAGGCCTCCGGGTTTCCCTGCCTGATCCTCTCTGCTAGCAAGGTAGTCATCTGAATGGCTACAAGGGGACCACACTGACCCCAAAAACAGTCTGTGGTAACAACGCAGAGCCCTCTAAGCATCTCAGAGATCACGTGACAGCTTGTACACCCTCTCCAGATTCTCACCTGGGACGCGAGGGCCATGCAGCGGGTTGGAAAGCGCCATCCCGATCTCAGTCATGCCGTATCTCTCCAACAGCGTGTGCCCCGTGATGCTCTTCCACTTTTTCAGCACAGGCACCGGAAGGGCTGCAGACCCTGACACCATCAAGCTGCGAGCAGGAAGGACAAGGAGGGGTTAAAGCCCTTGGAGGATCCGGGGCAGGGTTGAATGAGACAGCGACTCAGCCATACCCCTTCAAGGGGTGAATCCTGGGAAGGATCCTGAGAGCAGCCGTGCCAGTGGCAAGAAGGGATGCTCAACCAGAGGCGGAAGGAAGGGCACTCAACAAGGGTGTCAGTTTGGAAGTCTGGGAACCCCAGGAGGGCAGGATGGGCCGAGGGGGGGTCAGTCTCAGTGCCAGAGCCTGAAGCTCCCCACTCCCCACCCCACCCCCGAATCTAGTGCGTTGCAGAGGATGTACGCTAACGCGGGGCAGCCACCAAGGCAGCAAAAAAAGGACTGCAGGTGCCATCCTCAGGGGACAATTGGCCCCACACGGTGCCCTGGACAACCACCTCCTAATCCCCTCCTGCACCAGGCTGGGGGACGCTGCTCCAGGACCAGCTTCCCTATAAACAAGATGCTTCTTGGCCACTGCCTCAGACCAAGTGCGCCCGTGCGCACACACAGAGAGGTGAAAGCAAGGTAGCATGGGTGGCTGCCGAGCAGCAGGACGCAGAAGACAGCCTGGGCTCCTGCCAGAAGAGAAAAGGGGCTTTTCGCCTCTACATCTTGGAACCCAACCCAGGAGCAGAACCCGGCCAGATGGTTTTTAATGAGATAGGAGGTGGTTAGCCTGGAGAATAAGCCATAGCCCTGGCTCTGTTCTCTCTTCTCTCCGAGGGAACCCTTCCAGAATCGGATAATGAGCGCCATGCAACTGGCAGCCGACCCAGCTCCACGGAGCCTCCTGCCCTCAAGCCGAACAGCCTTCCCCCTCAAGCAAGGGGTGGGCAAAGCAGACGGAGAAGAACGGCCACTGCCATCGGCCCCAACTGGCAGAGCCAAGAGTGAGGAAGGCTGGAAGTCCTTGTCCAAGGACGCCTGGGGGGGGGAAGGCGGGGGAGGAGTGCCCTCTGGACCTAAGCGGTCCCCCAACAGGTGCTTAACCCAAACCACGGAAAGGGGGGGGAAGGTGTCTCTGTTGCAGAAATAATAATACACTTCCCCGGAGAGTTCTGGAGGAGCAGTAGAACCCCAAAGAAATCTGGGAAGCTGGATCTTAGTGTTTGCAGGAGCCGTTCCCTGAGTCTCCAGACCACCACCGGCTTCCAACAAGCTGAGCAAAGATACCTGATGGAAGAACCGTCTCCCACCCAAGCCTCCCACCATTTCCAGCTTACTTCTTCACACTGGACGGACTAGGAAAAGGCAACACTCCCCGTTTTACAACGAAATACAAGCCAGGGACAGAACGGGGAGGGAACGGAAATCCTGGCTCTGGTCTGGGCTCAAAGGCAAGGGAAGAGTCCACCTACCGGATTTTTTCCTGGCAGATGGCACGGATGAAATCCTGGACATAAGGCTGGTGGAAGTGCTCGTTGTAATACTCGGTCAGCTTGGCATAGATGGTGGGCACTGCCATGAAAAGGTTGACCCGGGGAGTCCGAAAGCTCAGGAACATCTCCCAAACCTGAAAAAAAGGGAGGTTATAAACAGAAGGAGCCTGGAGGGCTATCCCTTCTGGGACAAGATCAAATGGCACTTCCTGAAGACTGGTCTTCCTGGTTTTGCCGGGGGGAGCAAAAAGCCAAACGCAAGGACACACCGAATGGGCCCCTCTGTCCACCCAGCCTTGTTCACTCAGCTCTGCCCAGCAGCCACAACTTGGTGGAACTCCAGGCAGACTTCTTTCTTAACCTTCAAAGGAATTCCCTAGTGGCTTCTCTCCTCTAAGTACTAACTTGATCAGGTCCTGCTCAGCTTCCAAAATCGGACAAGGCCAGGGGTGTTCACAATAGCCTGGCGGTAAAGCTAAAGGCCTACCTGGCTGGGTGGAAACACATCTGTTCTTTCTCACGACACAATGGGTTCGCTGGAGCTCAGAAGACCAGAGGCCAGGAACCCTTTGCATTCCCTGCTGGAACTTAAGACTCTTTCGTTCTACCCCTCTGCCCTGGAGGAGAAGAAAAGGAGGGGCTTGCAGGGGGAGGATCCACCGAGGAGCAAAGCAGAAGCAGGCTGAGTTGGTCCATTTGGGCCATCCTCCAGGTCATTTGGGATCTCACCACAGAAACAACAAATAGAACCAAGGTGGGAGTGGGGGGGGAGAGAAAAAGTCAAAACCACACGCCATGACATATGGAAAGTGGGTGACAATCCCATGTCTGGAAAACTGACTCGGTGCTCCTTGGGCCTCACTGAACAGCCACCCCCCCCAGGAGCATTTAGAGTCCAGGTAGCATCATGACTATTTAACCTTGGCTAATTTGCTCCCAACACGGCCACCCCTCTCCCCTGCGAGTTTTCCTCTGCCAAGGAAGAGGGAGAAACCCCATCAATAAATAAGAGGCAGATGCTTACTCTGTTAGGGCAACCAGCCCTCCCCTCTTGCTGCTGCTCCTTCTTTGCCAAGCTTCTACCTTGTTGCTGACAAATGTATTCCCTAACAGTTCGTGGCAATTTGGCTCTTTCCCGTCACTCCTGGCTCAGCACACTCAGGGGCACAGAAGCCCAGACCAACAGGGAGCAAAGGTATGACATAAGTGAAGCTAAAAAAACATACCCTGCTTCACTCCACAGCTTTGCTCTCTTCCTTCCCTGCTTCCTGGCTTGCCCCCATCTCAGGGCTGTCTCTTCCTTCAGACCACCATCCTTCTTGATATATAGGACCCTGTGTTTCTCGCACAGAAGGGCACAACCAAAGAAGATACCACTCCTACATTCAGAGGGAGAGGGTTTTTTTTAACTATTTGGGCACCGAAAATGAAGCAGCCCCAGAAACTGAGCAGCAGGTCCATCAACATTCACCCTGTATCGTGCAGGTCAAGGGAACGCTTCCATCTCATGCAGGGTTTTCCTGAAGCGGCCCATGAGTCTCCTCTAAATGACAAACAGAATGATTAAAAAATAGAGGAAGAGGAGACAGTTCTGCTCCATTTCTCTCTCACTCCTCCTGTCCTCCTGCCAGTGGTGTTCAGAAGGCAGCCAGAAGGTTCAGCACCACGGACAGCTCCCAAGGAGCGGAACGGAACAGGGGCTTGTGCTACGGCTCCTCCAGGACCGTCTCCTCCAGGTGCCACCCCTTCCCACCAAAGGAGAATTCCTAAAGCTGACAGCCCACTGTCTTTAAGCCTTCTCCAGGGCTTCTCCAGGCACTCTTGACTGATAAGCTCTGGACGCTGCTGTATATCTGCTCCATGGGATGGAGGAATGTGGACTGTGCTATTCTGCAGCCATACTCAGGAGGTGCCACATCGGATGAGGCCATGAAGGCCTCAGGTGGAGGGGCATCAAGCAAGAGCAATTCCAGAGTATCCAGCCTCACGGCATGCAATGCATCAGGTCCAGCTGGTCTGGATGGGTCCTCGGCAGGGCATCTCCTTAGCCTCTCCTTAGCTAGCTCTCTGCTGGACTCCAGGACTTGAGAACCCAAGGATTTACTGCCTCACAGGCATTGGAAAAGCATCAGCTCCTGCCATGGGAGGGCTCTCAGTTTTGCCACATAAATTTAACCAGTGCACAAATGGGCCCCAGTCTTGCTCTGTCTATTTCGAGTACAGAGGGAGGCAAGCTCCAGCCTTCCAGATGAGAAGGGGATTGCTGCTTCCAGGATTCTTTATCCTTAGGTAGGTTAGCCTGTCCTGAGAGGAGATGCAGCCCAAAACATTTGGAGGCTCTGTTCTGCCCACCTTTGTTCCAGCTGAAGGTTTTGGTGTCATCTCTATCTCTACACACACACACACACACACCTGTGTTTGTACATAAATGGACACCAATATGCTTAAACTTGGTTCTGAAGCTTGGAATGCAAGAGAGCTCAACAGTTAATAGCAAACTCCCTTGATCAATATTTCTCTTTCTTCCTCACAGATTCCACTCAGTCTTCTTCACGCACTCCCTTCTACTCTCTGCAACTTTTCCTTTTGGAGTATTTAAAAAAACCACACACACAAGAAACCCCCAAGGTCCACTCTCCGCCCTACCCCCTGCCCCCAGGATGACACCATATTGAGATGCAATCCACAAGGGCCTCTTTGATAAACGAGATGCAAACCGACGCATCAATTCAGTGCTTACCAAGGAAAGGAAAAGGGTCTTTTTACAAATAAGAATCTAATGCATGTTAAATCATTCCCCTTATGTCTCTTTTTTGATCTCGGAGGCAGCTTTGTGTCTTCTGCTTGATTGGCAGGATGGCATCATCTGCGAGAGAGGGCTGCCATGCTCCCCACCCCACCCAGTCTCTCCAAAAGCTTCTCCTCTTAACCAGATACCCAAGTGCTTCCATGGCACAACCCATCCAGCCAAATTTATTGGTCCTTGGGTTTGAGGTTCCTTACTACTACTTTGGATCATGGGCATCGCCTCTGTGATGGGTTTCTTGGTGTCTCACCTGTTGTCAGCATGTCCAAGCTCCCACAGAAGGGGAAGAGATGGTTTTCAGAGCATGTTGACACTTCTAAATCTAGCAACTGTATGCTTTTGTTATTTTTTTTTTTTTTTTAGAGAAGTGGATTCTTCTCATTTGGGACTCCTTGCAACCGGTTGTTGTAACAGCAGCCAAGCTAAGCAATAGTTAAAGGGATGAGATCAATAGAGGAAGAGCAGAGCATTCACCACTTCCACTAGAACTCCCTCTCACGTATTTAGAGGTTGGTACACGTGTGGCTACAGAGCAGAGGGATCAGACCATGACTGTGAACCACCTGGAGGAAACTGCTTGGCTGCTTTTGGGAAGACAGGGTACTGAACCGAGATGGGCCAAGGATCCAAGGCAAGGCAGACATTCTTCAGCTTCTGTGGATGTGGCTAGACCAGGCAGTTTCCAGCAAAACAGAGACAGAAAAGAGCTCCTTCCTCCAACTGGCGCTCTCGCTCTGAGCTATACCCTCAACCCCTTCTTGTGCTCTGCATGGCTCTGCTTTAATCACTTATTCATCACGAGTTCCTGCCATCGGAGGCTACAGCTTTCAAACCTTTGCCATGCTGCAGGCAGGCTGAAAAAGCAAACACTTTCTCCAGGACCCAAGAATCTAACAAAACATGACAGGCTTTGGTTCCCTCCTCCTCTCCCTTTCTTTTTCTTTTTTCAAATCGCCCCATCTCCTTCTCCTTTCCACACAACCCCCACCTCCACATCAAACGGCATTACTCTGTAACAGATGCTGAGGACAAATGGCAGATCAGGCAAAGTAGAAAAGGAAAGCGGGAGACCTTTTTCCAAGGGGAGGATTGTGAGAAATAGATCTGGTGCAATCTGTCCGCGGCTGGCCTGCTCCCTTGTGTGGGTCCCACCAGTATCTCTTATGAGCCAGGAGAAAAGGCGAGTCAATCAAGGCGGACATTAGGGGATGAAAACACTGCCAACTTCCCTCAAGCGGAACTGTGAAAGCCCTCCCTAATTAACCAGATCTTACTCCTGAGTGAGGGTGCCTCTTCCCCATTTTCAGGACTTTAAGAATGTCCGGGGGCACCAGCGCTCAGAAACACACCTTTTGGGGATGACATCAGATCTTGCATCAGCCATGTTGTTGCTGCTGTCCAGGGTTCTGCCAGCCGGAGTCCGAAAAACCCCCAACTCTTCCAATTTTAGATACCTCCTCATTCTGAGTACAGCACAGGTCATAGAAACTGCTATGAAATTCCACCCCGCTCACTGCTACAATCACACACCACATGGCACTACCGGGCTCATCAGAGCTTGGGGAGATTACTATGACCCTTTGCCAGTGGTGGCGAGGTTGGCTCAGAGGCTTCTGGGTCTGGAGGTCCAAAAGGAACTTCTGAGCCCTTAAGCCCCACTCAGTCCCAATTCCACGTATGCAGGATCATGCTCCGCCCATCCCTTTAGGCAGCTGCTCCAGCAACACTCATAGGAGGCTGGCCTCCCCATCAACAAATGTGGATCTGTCCATAGCGGAGAAAAGCCCTTCAGGAGCACCGCACGGCAGGCTGCGTAATAAGCAGATGGTGGCGAGGCTAGGTGCCCGTGAGCCATGGCTAAACCTTCGATTAATAAATGATTAATGGGCAGTAGTATCCTTTAATAACTTCCAATAAAAGGAAGGTAGGAAAACCTTTAGCAAGGCTCTTCTAGCAGATGGTGCTGGAAAGAGAATTAGAAGAAGCACGCTTGGCTCAGGCCAGCAACACACACCTCCCATTCACAAAGGGCAACCAGCCTCACCCACTTACGTCAGCATATCTGTGAGTATTTCTTTGCATGTGAAGAAGTGACCCTGCTCTTGGAACACCTAGCCGGGAGCCAATGAATTCCACATTGGAAGCAGCAACAAGGAAGCACCAAAACCGTAAGGGGAAGCAACCTCCAAATCCCCCACGGCTTTGCGATGCAACCTGGGTACTCTGGCGCAACAGCTGGACCCCAGAACAGGACGCATAAACAAGCCAAAGGATCTCCTTCACTGGCGGTTCATTCGCAACGGCAATGTCTTTCGGGGGAAGATCTACACACAGGCGGTCCTGCTGCATTTCTCCCCTTTCTAAACTTGCAGGATGACCTTACTGGTAATGCTACGACAGCTGCTACCTGGCTATAAATAAATAGTTTTTTATTTAGGCAAAGAGATGGCGGTATAGCTTAGCTGGAGGAGATTTCTAACAGAAGCATGCAAGATTTGTGTATGGTGGGACCGCAACTTCCAGAAACCTGCCCTGGAGATTTTTAGGACGGTCGTCCAGAAACACAGGTGTGTGCATTTTTAATTTCTAGCCATCTTTTGCAGACCAATAATGGCATCTTGCTATGAAGATCCGTCAACACCACCCTCAGGTTCTTCAGCAGCAGAGGAGAAGGGTCGTTCCGCCCGGACTCCACCCCAAGGGGCCTTTTAGGGGCCACCCCAATGCTCAACCTGAGGTCCCTCCCGACTGTGTTGGCCCAGGATGGAGCTTGCCAATGCTCTGCCCTGCCACAAAGACTAACCAAAGCCAGACTACCCCGTCTCTCCCGCTGCAAAGGCACGCTGCAAATTAAGTAATCTAATAAACACTGTAATAATAAAGTATTTATTGCATATAATGAAGTGTTAGTGATTAGAAAGGTTGGGCGTGCTGCTGCGGTTTCTCCTGAACCCGTGCCAGGATCACTCAAGGCTGGGCTTGATGGCGGCGGCAACAGCTTCGGAGGCCGGTTCCCAGCTTTGTTTTGATCGGCGCGTCAAGTGTTTGAGCTGCCGTTCGGGTTTCTTTATATCACCCTGTAATTGACTGCTCTCTCGAGGTGCAAAGAAACAGAAATACAAAAGGCAGAAGAAAAAGCGTCGGCTCCTTCTGTGAAATCCTCTGCTGAAACGGCGCTGCTTTTCCAAGAGCCGATTTCAGTAGCGAAGGGGGCACTTTGTAAACAGCTGGTGAAAATAGGCCGCCACTCCAAGGCAGCTTGTGTTAAACTCCACAAGAAAGCCCTGTATTTACCCTCCTGCACTCCCTTTGTCATATCAATCAAACCACTTTCCGGCCCCCTTGGGAGGGCCTTTCAAGAAAACCATGGCGAAATAGCTGGAAAAAAGTAAACAACTTTTCTCTTTTTTTAAAGGGCACACTCGGTTCTCCTGAGGCCTTTACTGTGTTGGAAAGCTGGCAGAAGGGAAGAGGCCAGGCAGCTGCTCCCTGGCCAGTCAATTCTTGGGCCAAGGTGACAAGAGAGGGCAAGTGAGAGCAGGGGAGACCATCGAGAGGGGTGCCCCTCCTTGCCCTCGCCTGCCACCCTCTGCTAACCTCTCTGACGAAGACACTTCTCCCCCGAGCCCTCCACTCCACCCTGTCCGCCTCAACGAGAATGCTGGTTCTACCACCAGACTGGGTGTCTGCCAATGTTTGGACAGCTCGAGGATGTAAGGGACAAGGAATCTTCTGGTGACACGGGATGTAAATATACACAGAGGGGCCCTTGGGACTCAATTCCAATAGATACAATTCAACAAAAGAAGAGAACAGGAGCCTTCTGGCACTTCAAAGACCAACATCATCCTTGTTCTTCAACGTCCTAGTCTGAATGAAATACTGGGGACCAGCTTTAGAAGCCGGGAGCAATAGACGGAAAGGGGCTGGGTGAATTCCTGCCCCGCAAAGATCCACAGAGAGCAGTCACAACAACAGATAGGCTTTGCAACAGGAATACAATTCCCACTGTTCCTAGGAATGCCAGGTTTCCACCTGACAGAGGGTGCATTTTAAAGAGACGCCCTGCCCCCCTTTTTTTGATTTTGGCTCCCAGATCTACCCATCACTCCCTACGGCTCAGATCTTTTCATCTCCTTCGCGCCTGTCTTGTGTCACAAACACGGGTGGTGGGGCCGTGTTTCATCTGCTCCACTGCAGCGTCCTCTCCGGGGACTGAGTGTACACATCAAAGCGGCCTCCTCTCACAAAGCCACGATCTCAGCATCTGGCATGAAGTTTGTGCTGCTGCAGGGATGGGCGGCAGGGTGCCTCTGGGTGCGGGAGAGGCTGACAACCACAGGATTTCCCAGCCACCCGCACCAGCACCACAAGGCGCAGGATGCACAAAAACGTATCACAGAATAGAGGAGGCCAAGAAAGGAAAAGAGCCTCAAGGAGGCCTTGCTCGCTCACTTCTTTTTATTAAACACAAACGAACAGAAGACACCTAAGAGAAATAAGATTTTGTACTTCCGCTGAGTGGGAGTAAAAGAAATCCACAGCCGTTGGGCCTCACCATTTAAGTGAGCACAGGCTGACCCAACCAAACCAAACAGAGAGGTCAAAAGTCAAGACTCCTGCATGGAAAAGCAGCCAGTTCTAGCCAAGGGAAGCCATCAAGATGTTCATCATGGAAGGGATGAAGAAAGTGCATCTGCAAAATATAAAGTATCAGCGACTTTCCCTCTCCTTGGCCAGATATCATAGAAGAGGTCTGTCCAACAACGGGCCAGTAAGTTGCCCCTGGCATTCCATGCGGTACGACAAAGAGTGGAGAGGAGCACATACGTGGGGTTGAGGGGGGGTGGGAAGACCTTCTCAGTCACGCCTGTTCAGATGATAGGGAACAGCCACATCGTCCCAAAGAGAAGGAAAGGAGGAAGGGCACGAAGCGAGCACAGAGAAAAGAGACTCTGAGAGCTGAAATGGCAACGGTGACACAGAGATTAGTCTGAAAGATTCTGTTTTGGTTGCTATTTAGAACAGTTTTAATTGGCTGCCCCCAGGAAAGAGTCAGTCAGCGTACATGTCTATGCTCTGTGCCCTTCAGAGATTTTCTTACAAAAGATACTAGGTGGCAAAGATGTTTCACAAGCCTCCTGTACACAACACGCTTATGCTGATCACACCTTGTATGACAATAATCTCAAGAATGATCTCTTCTTTACTTTAAGGCACAAAAGCTTCCCCTCTTTCCCAGCGCTTAGAAAAGCTACTTCATTAGACAAGAAGCCCCAGCATCTCACAGCACGGCCAGTTCTAACTGGCTTTGGCCACCCTTTTCTCTTCCAGACCCATGTCGTCCTTAAAATAATCTGGAGAGGCCTTCCTGGTTGCTGCTGAGGTCTGCTCTGCAGTCATTCCAAGTAGGGTATTAAAAACAAAGCAATGCATTTAACTATATTGGGCACATTTGCCTCTAAAGTGTGACATGCACCAACCATCTGTAGTTTTAGATGCAAGCTAAGAATGTGCACATTCTTGGAGCCTTGTGCTGCAGTGGTTAAAATTGCAGTATTGCAGTCAAGACTCTGTTCAAGACCTGAGTTTCATCCTGCCAGGCTCAGGTAGTCAGCTTAAGGTTGACTCAGCCTTCCATCCTCCCCAGGCTGGTAAATTAAGCATCCAGCGCAAAATGCAGTCTGCATAATTAAATTGTAAACCACCCAGAAAGTGCCTTAAGTGCCAAAGGGAAGAGTATAAACAGCATGCTTTGCTTTGCTTCTTAGGTATTTCATGGAGAATACAAATATTCTGTCCTTTGTGCTTATTGTATTTTTAAAAAATATTGCTGCACAGCACTTTGGCATCTGCAGATTTAAGAAGTCTGTAAGTGATTTAGAAAGTGGAGGGTGTCTCTGACTTGCATAGAGGACTGGCTACTGGCAACAGGCCCTTCCTAAAGAAATCCTTGAAGCTGGTGGGTAAGTGGCAGTCCCTCTGAACCCTGGCCCACTTACCGTCTGTGCACTGAACTCTGGGAGCAGGATGCAGGTGGCGCCCACCCAGAGGGGACACAGCAGCTTGTTGACCACCCCATGGACGTGGTGCAAAGGCAGGACGTGGAGAATAACATCGTCCTTTCTCCATTCCCACTTGTCAACCAGCCCGGTTATCTGCAAGGGCATTTAGACAAAACAGTAAGAAGACAACATCTGGAGTGAAGGCCACAGACACGCTGCTGCTGGCGTAAGTCTTTCTGAAGGGCAGAATGCCCGCTGCCACACAGTTGACGCCAGCCATTGACAAAGTAGTGCCCTCCAGAAAGTTATGGGCACCACTTTTATGGTTTTTTTCACAATTCGTTTGATATTACTGATTGTGCCACTAGAAGGAAAAAAAATAAAATAATAATGAGAATTCAGTCTCTTTATCAAGATCAGAGGTCATAGAAAATGTATGTTTCTGGACGGCCACTCCCAGACTCCCTCAACTGCGGGGACCTACAGTCCCTAGAAGTAACTCTTCCAAGCTCTGATCAAGATCTGCAACCAGTAGAAGGAACCCACAGTTCACTGGAGAGGTACAGAGGAAGGCGACGCTCTGAACTCCCTGATCAGCTCAAGCTGCAAGGCCTGGAGCTTTTGTCTCCTTGAGGGAGCAGTTTTATACACTTCAGGCAGAGAACTTGGTGCTGTTACAGCAGCCGGCTGGCTCCACACTTCTGATTCTTTTTGGCTCAGGGAGCTAATGGATTTTCTTGCCTTGGGGATCAGCAACTGAAGCCGTAAACAGATTAAACTGGGTGCCTTCACAGTCGTCTTATAACCACACAAAGCAGGCAAGAGAGGGAATACCGCTCTGAGTTCAAACTGGCACCTCTGGTTCTTTGAGAGGAGAAGATGCAGCAGAGCAAAGAAGAAGTGTAAAATAGTGGTGCTGCAGTTTACATAACAGATGTACAGATTTGGGGAGTGTGGTTGGAGTGCAGTTCCAGAATTCCCCAGGTAGCGTGGCTAGTAGCCAAGCTAGGGAAGGAATTCTAGGAGCAGCCATCCAAAAAGCATCAAAACGCACACTGGTGGTTTAAATCTGTCTGGAAGCCTACCCTTCAAACAAAGGCTGATGGCAAAAGAGTCACACAGAACGTAAGTCCAGAAACAGCCCCTTTTTCCTTATGATTCCCTGTGTTCTCAGGCAAGACCCATTCTAATAAGAAGAGTTTCCTAAGTGAGCCCAAATCCAACAGACGAAATACAAACTCACCACAGCCTGGACATTCCGATGAGTGCTGAGGACTCCTTTCGGCCTCCCGGTGGTGCCGCTTGTGTAGATGATCATGGCAGGTCTGTCCTCCCAGTCTGAAATGGGGCAGCCGGCTTCCAAGTGGGCCCCCTCCACCACTGAATCAGATTTCCCAGACTTAGGAAGCGAGAGCACAGGCACTCCTAGTTTCTCAGCACTCGGTGTGATTTTATCCAAGTACCCACCCTCTACAATGAGGAGAGTGCTCTGAGAATCCTGGATGAAATATTCCAGTTCAGATACAGGATGTTTTCTGTACAGTGGAACAGCGACGCCCCCACTCATCCATGAAGCCCACTGGGCAATTACATAGGAGACATCATTAGGGCACAGAAAGGAAATCCGTTCCCCCTTCAGGTCTCCGCTCGAGTTCCCAAGAGTCCGACAGATCTTTTGGGACAGGTGGAGGCTTCGTGCATAGAGGTCCTGATAGGTGTGCTCACCATTTTGGTCAACAATGGCTGTTTTCTCTCCAAAGGCCAATGCCCTGGTGAAAACAGGGGAGACCTGCTTACAACAAGGTATCCTGCTGGTATGAAGGCTCTTGGAAACACGGAGAGGAGTCCTGTGGCCTGGGCAGTTCCACGTCAGAGGACAAGAGCTGCGAGCAAGAAATTGGAACAAGCAAGTTCTCTTTGGAAACATCAAGGGGCCCAGCATTTCCCTGGCGTGCCTTAGTACTGCAGAGGAAACCAGAAAAGACAGTCAATATGAAGAGCCTCGACCACATATGAAGGACGGCACATCAACCTTGTTAGCAATGTGACAAATATCTTTTCTGTCCAGAGAATGTCACCGCAGACAAAAACAAAACAAAACAGCAAAGCACTGTGCAGGCCTAAATAATAACAATTTCTCATTGAGGCAATGTTGCCCTGCAAAATATCAGGGGCGGTTCAACTTGAACTCCAGAATTCTGGTGTCATAGCTTCATCAGCCCCTGAGGACAGAAAAAACACAAGAATGGCCAAGAAACATGCTATGTTTTCTGTTCAATTAAGGCAATTAAAAAACCAACAACTTGCGAGTCTAAAAATGTCTTTGATGCAGAATTCACTCAAGAGACATAAACACCGCTGTTCCCCAAAACATGGCAGGACAGAAAAGGGGTAGCCAGTGATGTGAGGGGACATGAAGAGGAGAGGGGAGTGTAGCCTTTGTGCTGCAGCAATCTTTGAGGAGACAAAGTAGGATGGGTTGTCATAAAAGCAAAACGGTGACTTGGTTTCCCAGAGCATGGAGATTCTGTGAGGTTAAGGCTCAGAGTTTATGCAGGGAGGAAATATGAAAGGAAGTGTGTTAGCCAGAGCTGAAGGGATGTGCAGTGCTCTTCACAATCATCCCACAGTTAGGCCCATCTTGAACCAAATAATATGCATGCATGGATTTAACCATTCTATGGGATCTCTCAGACGTTTTGCAGTCATATATATTTTTTCTGAAACAAATCCAAGATGCACAGGATTTTCACAGTTCCTATAACGGTACCCTTACTACAGCAGAATTCATCTGGAAAGGACAGAAAAATCATCAAGCATCTTCCCAGCAAAGGATTCACCTGAAAGTGGCAAAATAAGTATGAGGCCTCACAGGATTATTGCAGTTCCTGTGCAGAATTGACCCCCTTTCTGCATAAGATTCTTTAGAAAGGAAAATAAGTTGCATAGAATTTGCTTGTTTCCTGTGAGGAATAACAGACAGGAAAATAACAAAGAAAAGAGAAGAGAGACCACAGTCCTGTTTTCAGGGGAAATTGGGAAACCTTGCCAGGGAGTCGCAGAATGAAGAGGCTTGGAAACCTGCCAAGAATGAGACTTTTTTTTTATTTTATGAGTGCTCATCTCATCCGTTATCAAAACTAAAAGTCTCTGCGTGTTTTCATCAACCTTCCCCACTTCTGCAACCACCCTGAAGTAAGCTGTTGATTTTGCGTGGGAAGAGCTTGCCGCTACATGTGTCATACACCAGCGGGGAACATGTCTGACGACAACTGCTTGCCCTCTTCCCTCTGTCACATCTTCTTCTCTAGAAGTGCAACCTAAAAAAGCATGTGTGCATGTGCGCATGCGTGTGCAAGAGAAACAATGTTTTTATGAAGATGGGAAGCAAAAGCCAAATCACCTTCTTCCTTGAAAGCCCACCTGTGACACTGTGTACAGGGCGGAGCACATTAAAAACCAATACAGTATACATTTATTTGTGTGTGTGTGTGTGTGTGTGTGTCTGTCTGTCTGTCTCCTTTTGGATCCAGAACTGGGTTTGGGGAGGGAGGGGGAGAAGCTACTTATCTAGCAGAGTTGGGGGAATCTGGGAGCTGCTCTCCAAGGAAGTAACTTCTCTCCAGGCCCAGATCTTCCTACCTTCCTGACCCTCTGGAGGATTTTGGGAGTTGTAACCCAAGGACTGCCCCGTCCCCAGGGCCAGGCAGGGGATTCTGGGACTTGTAGTCTGACAGCCATATCCCAAAGGGGATTCTGGGAGTTGTAGTCCTAAAGCGCCCCCCTTCCTCCTCTTTCTCAAGCTCTACACCCTCCTCTACCGCCCCTCCCCCTCGCTCGGGGGCCAGGAGAGAAATGCCACCTTCCCCCTCAAAGAAAAAAAAGAAAACAAATTTGGGGGGAGGAAAGAGCAGGGGCCCCTTTCCCTTCTCCGCCTGCCTAGGCGATGATGGGCCCTCCCCTTGGAAAAAGGGGCGCCCAAATAGCCTGGACGGCGACCCTGTCCTCCAGAGAAAAAGCCAGCCCCCCCTCATCCCGTGTCCTTCCCACTGCCCCCCCCAACCGGGAGCCTCACCTAGAGGGCGAAGCGGAGCACCGGAGTCGAGAGCCGGGACACCCGGTCCGTCCGCGAAAAGCGTCCCCCCGACGGAGCCAGGAGCGCTCGCAAAGGTTCCGGGCCACAAGGGGGCCGGCAAAGAACGGGGGCCCGCGTGACGTCACTCGTGTTGACGTCACACCCGCAGGAGTGGGCAGGGGTCGGGGTGGTGGAGGCAGGGGGGAATGTAGCGACCCAGGCGGGGCTCTACCTGCCTGACAGGAGGTGCCCTCATTTGTGCCCTTTGGTGACGTCACAGGACAACTTCATTTTTATTTATTTATCCGCCTATCTAGTCATTTCGACACACTCACCCCTGTTGTGTGCATATTACGTCATGGGCTTGCTGTGTTGCCTAAAGGGGCCGTGGCTGCCTGGGGGGATTCTGGGTAGTACTGTAATAGGTTCATAGGAGTAAAGGCAGGTCATTTCCTGAATTTGCACCAGACTGAGAGCTGCCTGTTAAATCTTACAACAGGTTATTTAGTATTGATGGGCTTCTCACTGAACTTCGAGCCAGGATTAAAACCTCCTTCGCCAAATGGTCCGGCTTGGCTGTCACCGGATTCTCAGGCACACCGTGCAGAAACACACACACCCCCAACGCGTGGGTTGCTTCTGTTCATGAAAGTATGAAATGCTAATAGCATTTCTGTTGATGGAAGAAGAAGGTGATGCAGGATGGGGGAAAGTATCTGAAAAGAGAGGAAAAGGGAGAAGAACCCAAAGCAAAACCAAGTTATGATCGGAGCTGAACCCCCCCCAACAGCAGAGCAGTTCAGGCCACGGACCAAGCCCCTCGCACAAAATATGGGTGCACTCTTCTACCCTTTTTTAAATACCTTAATTGTGACTTAAAGTGGACACAAGAGGTAAGTTCTACTTCTTTGTTCCTGAAATAATAAAGCCCCCTTCTTACCTAAAACTCAGTCCATTGAACATATTTAAAGTTTTGGAGCCCCACAAGAATGATGTTTGCTTCTTCATTTATTCAACAATGTGAACCCACCTGCTTGCACTTTGAAGATGTTCTGATGCTTTTAGATGCTGTCAAGGTGGTTCCAACTTACAGTAACCCCATAAATTAATGACGTCCTGTCATTGAGAGCATTTGTGCAGTGAATGTACAATTTCGTAAGCGAGGGACAGACAACAAAGGCAGGCCATTCCATGGATTTCTTTCCTGCTAAAGGCTTCCAAAACACACATTTCTTCTTGAGCTAATTCTCCTTGTTTTCATATTCCAGCGTTGATTTCATGAAGGCCCGCGTCAAACTCATCATGAATTCAGACAACAGCTTGCAAACCTGAGTGGAGTAAAGACCCTAAAGGCTTGGAAATGAGAGCGCCAATTAAGCAGGGCCCCCAGAGCATTGTGGTATAAAGGCCTTGTGATCTTTATGTCAATGTCATGATTTTTTTCCCCTCTTGGAGGTATGATTTATAATTGATCAGCCTTTGAGACCACCAGACTGTCGCTGTCCCTCCACACACCTGTGCAAGGCTGTGCTATGGGTAGGGCCTTTTATCTCAAGCCTGGTCTACTCCTCCAGGAGGAATTAAGTGTCAGACCGGACTGTGCCACTTGACTCTGAAAATCAGGGCTCTGAAATCTCCTCCCTCTATTAAAAAATCTCCATAAATGAACAGAAATAAAGCATTTACAACAGCACAGTTGGCAAAGGATTTGCTGGAACTTTATCCCTGACTTCCGAGGTTTCTACTTGCAGTGACTTTTTCTTTTAGTGAAAGAGCATTTCAAACGATTACATGGCACGTGCAGCTTGAAGAGGTAAGGCCTATTCTCCCACCATCACCTTCTACTTTTAAAATTTTATAAGACAGGAAAATATTGTATGTAGAACACTTGATCGGTGGCTTGGGAGGGGTCCCATAGACAAAATAAGTTAGGAGATTCTGAAAATAAAGAGTGCTTATGGAGGGAGGACTTCTCCTAGCACCCATGCTAGGAAGATCTTTTACAGCTATTCCATCTTTTCCCCTTCCCTTAATAGGAAAAAAAGCAAGGAGAAACAAAAGACAGAAATGGCAGGGAAACAGGGGAGAGCTACAGGTGAAAGGTAACATCACCTGGGCCTCCTGTAAAAATTGTGGAAGGAGGCTGTGCATGCGCACAGTGAAAGCCCAGCCAGAAAGCAGCACGAGCGTGCTCTTTGTGTCAGTCAGGGAGGGGGCATTTCAGAGGGAACCCTGCAGCGTCTCTTCTTTTGCAGACTAAACACAGGACAGGAACCCCCTGCCATCCAGCAGAGGGAAGCAGTGCTCAATGACAAGGACTCTCAAGGTGTGAGGGTTTCTGCCTTTCTGGGGAAGGTCAGCCCCAGCCTCATGTCCTTACTTGGGGTCTCTCTCTCTCTTCCCCCCCTCCTGCTTTTGCTCTCACTTACTTCATTCTCTTTCATGCAGTCTGCCCTGGAATGCAGAACCATGTTTCCGGCGTCTAAGAAGCATGACTGTTTCTCGGCCGCAACTCCCAGATTTGCCCAGCCAGAGCTGGAGGGGGCCATTGTGAGACTTGTAATCCTCCCCCCAATGTATCATTTCCAAAGCTGAAAGCATCATAGCGGACACCAGCCCCCTTTGTATCCTCCACCACAGCCCCCTTTGTTGACTTTGGGGGCTGTGGTGGAGGATACAAAGGGGGCTGGTGTCCGCTATGATGCTTTCAGACTTGGGAACTCTGTGTTTTAAGGTTAGTCTGCATCCTTTTGGGGCAGCTCTTGAGTGCGTCCCTGTACACTTTCCCTCTCCACTCCCCACAGGGTGTGTGCTCCGGCAGTACAGAGGTAAAATTATCCCAGAGGCCTTGAAGGGGAAGAAACCTGTGAAGTGGCGATAATGCGTTTGTCAAGTGGGAGACAAAACATTTCAATCAGAAGCCACCCCTGTCGGTGGGAGACACTGAAATGCCAGGCTTCCCTTCTGCTTGACTTGGCGCAGAATATTAACAAGAGGGGCTCTGGGTTGTTGTTGATGTTGCTGCCACTGCCGGGCCATGACACCTCTCTCTCTCTCTCTCTCTCTCTGTCTCTCTCTCTCT